CAAAACGGTAAAGTTGCAGAAATTTCTCGGAGCTCGTCAAACTCGTCTGTCAACGCAACAATCTTGGCGGCCGTGGCCGACTACTTCATGTTAGAACGTGATCCATAAGCGATAGCTGAAGTCTCCGGGAAGTCGGTCCGGTCTTTTTCAGCCGCAATACTTGGCTAGCGAGAGAGTAGACCTTCATATGGAAATGGTTCCATGGAAGTTGGGAAGCGATGTTGATTGTTGTCAGACATGTAGATTGGACGAACCCTGCCTGACCAACGACAACCGGGATGTTGCTTTCCAGGGAAGCGGGTAGGCACTGAGGAAGGACGGCTTGGAAAGTACTTGCCTCTAGTGATGTTCCATTCAGCATCTCACGTTCCTGCTCAGTCCAGAGGGTGGTAACAGGAACTTGCGGCGGCAGATACTTGACGTATTCTGTCCATGGCGTCGAGACTCCGCCCTTCAAAGACGTCTTAGGCCTATCAGGAAGTACTTTCTGCGTGAGAAGAAAGAGGCATATGTCATGTCGAGTTGACTACATTGAGAAGATGGGCGATCCCTTAGCTTTTCAAGGTCCGTATCAAACTCGGGCGAACACTCTACCTTGCGGCCTGCAGCCTCGAGCAGCTGCCGAAAGTTCTTGTCAACCTTTGCATAGTTCTCAACAGCTTCAGCGGATAAAATCAGCTCGCCGGGAATCCTGAGCAATGTCGGAATGTCAAAGGTCTCTTCTTCTCGACTGAGCTCCTTGTTCGAAAGTAGACCCAACCCGCAGCCGGGGATTTCGCGGGCCTCGACGTCGACGAGGTCTACGTCATTGAACATGGCCCAGGTGGACAGAGTCTCCAGGGGAAGCTGCGTAGACGCCATGACGAGGCTATTGGCTTGCTATCAATGGAATTGAAGAGTTACTTGCGAACGGGCGGGATGTTAATCGTTGCGCTGTAGTCTCGTGGTTGGCTGGGTAAGTGGAAAGATCGAAGCTCGAGTCCGGTGAGCAAAACGTGAGGTTGCTCAAAGCGTAGGGTGGATCGCAATGCAATGCACTGCAAGCGAGTAGCGAATACAAGTGCTTGGGTTTTGGAACTGCAAGAAGCCGATGCCTCCTACCAGAAAATTATTCAGTTCTTTTTCCCATGTCGGAAATTATTGTTTGAAACGGCAAGATATCTTCTTCGGCCAAAATTTCAATAGAAGGAGCTTCATGCGCCGCATTGGTAGTTAGAAACCCAGAGAAGCCTAAAACACTGGGCCCCATCACGAAGGCGGGCGCGAACCTTGCCTACTCGTCTCATGTTCGAGTAAGAACCACCTTCTCACAGCTCTGCTTAAACTTTCCAATGGAAAAGAAACATGGGCTTTCGACTCGAACACCGCAATGTTGAAAGACGACGACGGTCACTGAATGGGTTTTGGAACTTGGAGGGTGTCAAAGTCCTATTTTTCGTAGGTGGTATATGTACTACTCAGGCAACTAGTTGGGGCATGATTAACACCTGCTAGTCATCATAGCGGAAAGGCCAGACAATCCCGCTCTAAGGTCAGTTCGCAACGGCCTAGGAGGTATGATTCCTCCATACCATTCCTGACAACTCCGAAATTATGCGTGCAGACCTAGCCGGGTTACGGCGAGATCGAGGTATCATCGATGTGAAATAGGATAAGGAAACGAAAAGCAGACCAAACTCCATGCTGAGCATTCCCGGTCCCGTTGTCGCTGTTCCCATAGCTCGTAAAGACGAGTAGTAATACAGACTTACAGCCCTCAATCGGCTGCACTGATTATCGTACTCCAGGTTACCGACCATTTGAGGCGAGATGCTCCTTGAAGAGCTCAGCGGCACGACAAGCATCCCTCCGCCGACTCTCTTCATGCATCTTGCGCATCCAGGCCGCTCCCCGCACCCACTCCTCATTTCTGCGGACATAGATTGGCAACTCATCTTCAGGGACATCGCCGAAGTCCATGTGTCTATGGTGTGACCACGGCCGTGGCCCGCCTCCCGCGACGACCAACTTATCTTCCTCTTCCTGGCGCTCTTCTGCCAGGCGCTGCTGTCGCATGCGCTTGGCTGCTTTGCCGAAGTTTGCCTTACGACCACCTCGGGCTTTGATTTCCTCCATCTTCGACGTGTACCACTGGTCGCTGCGATTATGCGGCCAATGAATGCGAGGGTCAAGCTTCATATGAAAGTGGCCGTCATCTGCACCAGGTGGCGAGGCTCCTTTTGAGGTCTCGATTGGCGCAGCCAGAGTATACACCCCCAGAGGAGGTCTCGTGGCGTCAGGCTGGCTATATATCATGGCGTCGAACTTGGTGAATTCAAAGTCGGCGCAAAGCTGGAGTCGACGCTCTTCGCATGTCAATTTCTTCGTTTTGCGGGAGAAACCGGGCTTCGGATTCTGCTGGTTGCGATTCTGCTGATCGGCCCTCCCTAGTGTCGAGCCTTGTCGAAGTGTGCCATTCGGCAAAAGGACGTGATTATGACTCTGCCCGTTGACAAGGTTTGGCTGCCGTATTCTCCCACTTCTCTCTCGTCTACCATCTTCGTTCTCGTCAGAGGAAGAGCTGAGCACAATAGGCCTAAATACCGCACCCAGGCGAGTGGTATCCTCATTTCTCAAAGAACGTGAACGAGACGCGTCGAGGTTGGCGCCAGGAAGTCCGAAAGAAGATGTGGATTGTGAAACATTCAAAGTCGCTCCAAGGTAAGTGGACGAATGGGGATGTCCAATCACTACCTTTGCTTGCTCTGGAGCTCTATCATCAATCTCGTTATCATCATCATCAGAGGAGGTGAATGACGACGATGACTCGGATGTGGTGTCGGTACTGTCAAGCCTTCTCCGCTTGCCGGTCGAAGACGTGAATCTGCTCGTTGAAGCTGATCGTGATACTGATGGCGCCGATTTCACATGCATTGGCGGCAGACTCTTAGTACTGACGTGAGGCAGCGATTCGAAGCTTCTATTCCCAGATAGCGTAGATATCGATGGTGCAATGGAAGCCCTTCCTGCAAGTTGACCTCTGTAGCTTTCAGCATCCGGTCGGGCGCTCGAATCGCGAGTGGCATGCAACGCGTTCTTAGTGCCTGGCATCATCGCGGACTCTTGAGATGCTCGAGAGCTTTGGCCTGCAAAAGCCCTTGCCGGATTGTAGCCCCATGTCTTCTTTCCCCTGGGTTGCACCTGTTCGACGGTTGCAGACGCCTGCAATGCGCGCTGGTTTGTGTCGGTACTGCCAGAGGGTCGCTTCGTCTGGTCTTGCGATGGCGAGTGGACTGGGTTAAGAAGTGGTCGAAAAGGATTGAACGTGCCAGAAGGGAGTGATTCATGGTTGATCGATGAGCCAGACTCGGGAGTGTGAGTTTGCGCAGAAGGAGTGTGGAATCTCAAATGAGTCTCTTCTTCCATGCGCTTCCTGGGAGGAGCTTTTGTCCCAGCTGTCTTTCTGGCTGTCGTTGCCAGTTTTCCCACAAGATCTGACGGCAGATTCGTCCTTCTGACCATGTCATGGGCGCTCCGAGAAGCGTATGCTGGTTCATCTCGAAAATCCCTGCTTCGAGAATAGGACTGGCTGCTTCTCAACTGGTCGTCATTTCTAGCTCGCCCTATACTCTGCGATGGGTTCTGCACCACTGAGGACCTTGGGGGCCCGCCGGCGGCAAGATGCGCAGCATTGACTCGAGGATTTCTCCTTTCTGCTTGATGGCGTAGGCAAAGAGTCCCATGAAGAGCACTGGAATCGCACCCGTCTTCGGCACACCGCTTTGTAGACTGCTGACCAAAGGACTCCATCTCCTAACGGCCTGGTTCTTCATGAAGATGTCTCGATTCTATCAACTTGCTGAGATGGTTTTCCACGGACGCAGGATCGGGGTTCGTAGATCTCAAAAGCCTTCTTGCCTAGCCAGACCTGCTCTGAAGGACAAAAGGCTGTTGCCCAAGTGCTGGAGGCAGCGAAGATACGTTGACGAGATTGGATGTTTGAGTCTCTCGGGAAAACGTTGGCAAAGTTGAGCTGAGTAATGCGTCCCAATTCAAATTCAGAACAACGTGTCGAGCAAGAAGTACACAGCGAGGATGGGTTCCTTTGTCTTCATGGTCTGGTACTTGGGAGATTAGGTGGCCAGAGGTGCATGACAGGGGGGTTCTACTGAAGTAAGGTTAGCTTAAAGTTCAACCTGACGTTAGACGGGACCCGGAAGGTCCTGCAAAACGAGTTGGAGCCAAATGATGACAGTTGTGGAAATAAAGTGTGCGCTCAGGTCTTTTCAGTCATTTTGGTCTTCATTTTGGGGACCACAGCGGGTTTGTAGTCTCATCTTGAACCATTTGCCTTGTCTGCCTGAGCCTTTGGTCCTACTCCGTTTGGGTAACTAGTAGTAGAACTCCAAAATGAGGTCATGTTCATGTCGTTTCTCAATCCCAGATTGGTATACTGCATTGTTTGAGCAGCTCCATGTGTCGCGTATGCTTTTCGCTTGGCGAAAGCCTTGCGAGGATGAGGACGTGGCTCATTCATCCAGAACGGCCATTGAATGGTAACAAGATGAGACAACAGACCCAGAAGAATCCTTTTCGATCGGACCTTTTACCAGTAGTCATCACTGCGCGTAAGAAAAGTGTATTTGGGGTTGGGGAATGAAATCGAGGGCTTAGAGAAGCAAAATCGCACTTACCCGTTGGAGAACCGCCTGCTCCCTCAGAGTCGCGCCTTCGGCCGCCAGCGCACGACACTTTGGCATGGATGAAGAAGAGAAATAGCTTTGGGACCGGGCTGAAGGTAAGTAAGTGTGAATGAGTCCTGTTGAGCGCAGAGTTGTGAACAAGTCTCTCTTCGTAGCGGCGCGAATGCTCAAGGTAGACCTAGCTAAGTAGGTTTTGTCGAGTCGCAAGGCTGGTCGGGTTGCTGAGGCTCTCGCCTCGCGTTGCGTTCAGTGGAGGTTGATGAAGGTTGCTTGCTTGAATTCACTGGAGGACCTCGGGGTAATCCTTGCCTAGCTTCGTTAACAGACGGAACGACCTAGACGGGGCACCATCGATTTGCATCCGGGCCCACCCAAAACGTCGGCGAACGGATCATTTGTCACCCGTATCACCCCTCCATCCAAAATAGCCTAGCGCGGGGATCTTCAGGCATGAGCTGCTGCTAATGGTCCCCTGTTCCAGTGGTCCATGGTCCACTATCTTGTCGCCAAGTTGCCCGAAGCTCCCTGCCTACCTCAGCACTTCCAGCGCGTGCGTTGCCCCTTCCGCCAAATCTACAATTTCAAGGCCAGCAGCAGTTGCTGATTGACCAGATCTTGACCTCCCGTCCTGAATACGTCCCCGGATTTGGCGCAACAAGATGAATTTCCTCAAGTCAGCAGTGGCCTCTGCCATTGCACAGGGGCCACCATTCCCTTATAGCTTTGGCGACAAGGTGGATATCGACGAGTCCATTTGGACATTGAGTAACGGTACCAAGCGAGTATGTCTAGCTACCCGACGAGGCAATCGACAGCTCACCATCTAACGCCCCTTGACAGGAAGACGGTTCCAACTGTAGTATTTTCTCCTTCGATGTTGCCGCCAACAAGTCCCGACTACCCCTGGCGAAGAACGCACTGCGAAAGCTGAGGACCCTACGGCACCCAGGCGTCATCAAGGTGCTGGATACCGTAGAGGTAAAGGCGGCCCCTGACTACCTTACACGGGGCTTTGTCTCACAAGTCTATGCAGACCGATACATACATTTACATTGCGACCGAGCGAGTGGTGCCTCTTCGATGGCATGTGAAGAGAAAGAGCCTCACGCCAGAAACGATAAAATGGGGACTCAGCAGCGTTGCGGTATGTTGGGATGATAACCTGGTTGCGTAGGTACACTAACGATTCCTCAGCGCACCATCAAATTCATCAATGATGAGGCTTCATCAATACACGGCAACCTAAGGGTTGGCTCTGTGTACACATCTGAGAGCGGGGAGTGGAAGATGAGCGGGTTTGAGGTTCTGAGCAACGTGAAAGACGACGAAGCAGTGATCTACGTAGGTATTACTCCTTATTCTTGGAGAATGTCCTTACTGACTTCGAGGTCTAGACATACGGCAGCTTGGTCCCAGATTCAGGGCGATATGCGCCGCCTGAGCTTGCTCGTGGTGGCTGGGATGCTATCAAGAAGAGCCCGCATTCCGCAGTGGACTCGTTTGGTTTTGGATGTATGATATTTGAGGTCTTCAACGGCGACTTCATGGGCTCTGATCAAGCCGGTCAGACGAAGAGCATTCCTCCGACCATGCAACAAAGTTACAAGCGTCTCGTCAACCCAAACCCGAAGGCGCGTGTAAGCGTTGGCCATTTCCTCGAACAAGGACAACGGAGCGGATCTTTCTTCGACAGCCCCTTAATTAAACTGACGGAAGGAATCGAGAATCTCGGTGTGAAGACTGAGAGTGAGAGAGAGGCATTCCTCGAGTAGGTCCTTTGATGTCGAGGACTTCGAGCATGTAACTGACCTACACAGTGATCTCGATCAACTGACGGACGATTTCCCCGAAGACTTTTTCAAGATGAAGATTCTCCCGGAGCTCATCAAGTCAGTTGAGTTTGGTGGTGGCGGCCCCAAGGCCTTCAGCGTTGTAATGAAAATTGCAACCAAGCTTTCAAACGAGGATTTTGACTCAAAGATCACACCCGTCGTAATCCGGCTATTCGCAAACCCCGATCGAGCGATTCGTGTCTGCCTTCTCGATAGCCTGCCTTTGATGATCGATCGGTTAACACAAAAAGTGGTCAACGATAAGATCTTCCCACAGCTCGTAACTGGCTTCACAGACGTGGCGCCAGTTGTCCGAGAGCAGACTTTGAAGTCGGTTTTGGTCATTATTGGGAAGTTGTCTGATCGTACCATCAACGGCGAGCTGCTCAAGTACCTCGCCAAGGCGGCAAACGATGAACAGCCAGGCATCCGAACAAACACCACAATTTGTCTGGGAAAGATTGCCAAAAACCTTGGAACATCTTCGAGAGCCAAGGTGCTCATCGCCGCCTTCACCAGGTCCCTGCGTGATCCGTTTGTGCATGCTCGAAATGCCTCGCTGATGGCTCTCGGCGTCACAGGGGATTGCTTCTCCGACGAGGATGTGGCTTTGAGGATAATGCCCGCGGTCTGCCCCTTGCTGATTGACAAGGAGAAGGTGATCCGCGACCAGGCGAGCAAGACGATGGACGTTTACCTGAAGCAAGTCAGGAAGGCCGCCTCCAACATGCCAGAAACCGCTCTGCCTCCTCAGGCTGCAGAAGGCGCCGGCGGACCTCGGATGAGCACTCCTCAGCCCAACGAGGCCTCGGCAGCGTCCTGGGCCGGGTGGGCCATCTCCTCTTTCACCAATAAGATTTCGACTGCGAACGGTGAGATGCAAACCTCCAACGGCTCAGGCGCTGTATCTCCCAAGCCGTCCCCATCGCCAGGCCCCGACGCGAAGAGGACCACCACCTCCTCGGCCTCAGCTCTGCATCGCCAGGCGGTCAAGTCTCCCCCGCCAATGTCGCGGACGCCGTCGTCGGTCGTAGCGGATGCCTTCGACCCGGAACCTGCAGACGACGGCGGAGACGCTTGGGGCGATCTGGGAGACGATGACGGTTGGGGAGAGCCAAGCGCAAACAGCAGCTCGTCGGCGAAGAAGGCAACTACGGCCAGCGCAACTCCATTTGACGACGGTGCAGAGCCAGATTTTGCCGGCTGGCTGGCGGCGCAATCCCAGAAGAAGACCGGGGGAAGCAAGCCGCTGCCAAAGGGCCTCTCAAAGTCGTCAACAACAGCAGCGAAGAAGCCTCTAGTGTCGAGGCCGGCCGCTAAGCCTGTGGTAGCAAAGAAGATTGACATGAAGCCGAAGGACGACGATGACGATGAAGGCTGGGGAGACGGGTGGTAGGTGGTAAGCGCGGCAAGACGAGACAAAGTTTACAGCATTTACGGCGTTGAGGGTTGCGGAATACCACGATGTTGCAAGTAATGTTCATGTAGCAGTAAAGCCTGCCAATTGAGAATTTGTAATGCAGACGGCCGCAGCCTCATCTGTGAATGCGATACAAAGGACTGTCCCGGACGCCCCGCCAACCCAATCCCCAAAAATCATAATGAAGAAAAGTTACAAGCCATGATTGAAGAAAAAAGCCTTTTGTAGACCAATGAACCAACCAACGCAGACGTGCCCTCCCTAGTAAACCCTCCCAAAATCGTTATCTAGCGGACTCGGAGTAGTCGTTGAGGGCGACACAGACGGCGCCTCTGTGGTGGCCATTGTACTGGCGGATGATCTGCTGGCTATGAAGCTCCCAGAGCCGGGCATAGTGGTCGGAACAGGCCGTCACCAAGTAGGCAGAATCGGCGCTGAACGCGCAGTCCCAAACCCAGCGCTGGTGGCCCGTGAGGGTGGCCTCGAGCGGGAACGGCTTAGGCTCCTGGTCGGGGGCAGGCTCAAGGTCCTTGACCTCCCAGATGCGGGCGGTGTGGTCGGCGCTGCAGGTCGCGAGCTTCTTGACATCGGGCGAGAGGAGAATGCGCGTGATGTACTCCTTGTGCGCATTGAAGTGGGTGACCGGAAGGAGCTGGGTTCGGTCGTAGGCCTGCAGCAGCTGCCACACGAATACGTTGCCCTATTTGCTTGTCAGTTCCGGTGTCGCATTTCGTGTCTATTGGCAATCGGGAGGAGCTTACGCCATTGTTCGCAGCGCAAAGCAGGGAGCCGTCGCTGGCGACCGTCACGCTCGAGACCGAGACGTCCTCCTCGGGAATCAACTGGTGGGAGCAGTTGTTCTCAGCAAGGTCCCAGACACGGACGCTGCCCTGGCGATCGCAACTGATGATTTCGCCCTGGTTAGGATGGATCACGACGTCGTTGGCAGGACAGCCGTGGTTGTAGGAGCGCTGGACCTGGCCACTGCGTGTCTCCCAAATCTTGACGGTGCCATCCTCAGAACTGGTTACCATCCACTTGCCTTCGCAGTGGAAGGCGACGCCGGTGATGTTGCCAGTGTGGCCCTCGAAGGTAAGCAGCGGGTTCGGGTTCGTCGACTTGATATCGTAGAGTTTGACTGTGTGGTGGCCTGCGGCGGCAAGGAAGCGCTTGTCGGGGGAGATACAGAGGCGGTTGACCTGGGAGTCTGGGTGCTGGATCGTACGGGAACAAATGCCCGAGAGGGCCTCCCAGAACCTGCATTCGGAGAATGATTGTCAGTCAAGGATACCCAATTATTCGGCGGTCGGGATCGAGCCTCCAGTAGTTTCGTACCTGATTGTATGGTCGTAACCCGCTTGGACAAGGTTAGCGACCGATTCCAATGCCTTTGTCGACCGGGAGAAAGAGGTAAAGATTCCCCAAGGCTCAAGAGAACTTACCTGTGCAGAGAATCACAGACATGGTGACTGTGACGAAGCCTTTGGCCTCAGTTATCGCATGTTATGATGTATGTGTGCAAGGAAGATGTTGGTCGAGTATTGAGGAAGGCGCATCCAAAAATCGGGAGGTGTATTTGCGCGCAGGGTCGCCAGTAGAAGGATGCAGCCCCTCCACGATGTAGTCGGCTGGGTTGGACTCTCGACTGGAGCTTCGGCTCACATTCCTAACAATGCGGCCCCACTACAGGTCCGGGGACACCTGGGGTCTCACCGAGGTGTGGCTGGTATCGGGATTACTTCGGAATTTGGCACCCAGACTATCTATCACTCACCACCACATAGGAGCAGGCAGGCCTTTGAATAAATGAATACCCAGCTTCATTATTTTTGCGGTTCAGATTCAAGAGGCAAACTAACTGCCTTCCGACATGGATTTTATAAGCGCATGCCCTTCCTTCAGTTGAAGATTGAGCACTTCTTATTTGACATCTTCTACTGGCCACCACTGTTGTCACTCATTTCTCTATTCTAAATCTCCTAATCTTTTCGAGTGTGACTCCGTCTCTATCGCACGCCTTCCTAAAGAACGCACTGCTATTCCACACATCCATGAGGTCTCCATAAGCCTGTATCCTGCCCTGGTCAAGGACGAGCACTCGATCAAAAAGCATAGCAGCCTCCATGCGATGCGTGACCGCTATCATTGTACTGCCCTTCAGTGTCTCTTTTACCATCTTCGTAATTTCAACATCCGCCTGGACGCTAAATCCTCCCAGAGTCTCGTCCAGCACACATATCCGTGGTTTCTGGAGTATCATGGACGCCAAGGCAATCAGTTGTGCCCTCCCTGTTCCTTGAGCGACCTGCTCGTCAATAAGCTCGTCGAGTACGAGAGGTGCTTGACTGTGCAGCCCGGCCACCCTGTCCAAGTCCGACAGTAGACGAATGATTTCGTCACGAGAATGGCTGGTTTTTGGATCGACAGCCTCTCGGACAGTGCTATTGGGGAATGAGGCGGCATCGTGAGGGACTGCAACGAGATGGGACCGCAGGACATGTAACGGAATGTCCACCATTGGTATGCCATCCAGGGTGACAGTGCCCATCGTGGGATCGAGTAGGCGGAGTAGTAGGGCGACAAGAGTTGATTTACCTCCACCTGTAGGCCCTACAACCGCAACATGCGTATTGCCTGGGATGGTGAATGACATTTGTTGCAGAGCAGAGGATGTCTCCTGGGAATGTTCTTGACGGTGAGAGACACTCACGTTCCGAACAACTATCTCCCCGAGGTTCGGCCACGATTGCTCGAGAGAAAAACGGTACCCCAAGGCACGCTCCGTCGCGCCCTCACGAGGCATACTGGTTGCATAGGCTGCCAGACGGTCAACTGCGACCATTGACTGAAGGGCGCTCGTAGAGAACCTCATGCCTTGTCGCAGGGATGCCGGGAGCACCAACGCTTGACTCATTATCAGGCCAATGATGGATGGAGATAATGAACCTGAGGCAGACACTACAAGTAGACCCGTGAGCCCAATAGTACTGGCCACGATAGCATCAAGTCTCACTTCAAGCCAGCGTAGGTTTGCGGCGGCCAGCAAGCGGATACTGCTCCAAGCGTTCAGCCTTTTGACTAGAAGAGACCGAGCCGATGTTTCGGTCTTGTAAACGGAGATGCAGCTAGCGCCGTCCACGCTCTCGCTGAATGCAGCGTTCACACGGGACCGTAACTCAGCTTCGCGAGATCGAGCTGTCTTCAAACGAGGAGCGTAACGGCGCATCATGATGACGACGGCGGCTAGGCCTGGTACCACAACAAGGACAAGCTGAAGGAATTATCGTGAGCACAAATCTTTCGTGAGCATGTGAAAGGTACATACATTGATCTGCATTGCCAACATCAGGGCAACTCCACCCAACAGGCGCGCCAAGTGGAGGGTGGCATTGCGCGTTGCCTCGATCAGCTCTCTATCGGTCGTATCTACATCTTTGGAGAGGCGATCCATGATGCTTCCCAAGGAATGGCTTTGGAAAAACCTCATGGGTGCCCTGACGACACGTCTCACTGATCGCTCCCATAAGCTATGGCTCGCTTGCAACATCTTTCCGGTGATGTTCAGACACAGCACATACGCCAGTATCGCCTCTCCAAATCCTAGCATAGCGAAGATTGCTACTGACGCGAGACCCGACAGCCCCAACCGATTAGAAGTCCACAGTGAAAGCCAAAGCACTAGGCCGGCGGCGGTCACTTGCCAGCAAAAGACAATGCCTGCTGCTGTGGACGTTGCTCTTGGGCCACCCACGAGTTCCAGGTACCAGTCGAAGGACTTTCGCACTCTGGCGTCTGTTTGTGGTGCTATTACAACAGAGGCACGTGTAGTAGTCGGGCCTGCTACTTGTACTGCACCCGCATGCGATGAGGGCTGTTCTGGTAGCGGTTGCGTCGTCTTGGTCTGAGGAGGCTCGTCTGTTCCGATGGATGGTAAGTGCTGTTCAAGTCTATCCAGAGACCTCAGCTCGCTGGCACGTCCATTGTCCAGCCACAGCACCCGGTCACATCGGCGGGCCACCCAAGCCTGATTTGTTGCGATGAGGCGCGTTTTGTTCTCCAACAAGCTGCAAATGCCGCCTTCGAACGCTGCCTTTCCGGTTGCAGGATCGAGATTACGGAGACAATCGTCAATGAGGACAATGTCAGCATCCGAATACATGGCTCGGGCCAGATTGACACGTTGAGCTTGGCCGCTTGAGAGACCTTGACCACCAGAGCCAATAATTGTGAGATCCCTGCGAGGCATTCTGTCGATATCGCCCAGGAGAGCCGAAGCGCCGACCACTTTCCAATATCTGACCTCGTCGAATATTTGGTCGAAGAGGATATTGCTGCGGATCGTTCCTCTCCTTAGCCATGGTATCTGACCAGCCATGGCCACCTTTGACCCGATGCCCAGTTCTAGCCCGCCAGAATCGAGGCACATTTGACCTGCGACTGCACATAGGAGAGATGATTTACCAGACCCCGGCGCGCCACAGATAGCTATTAGCTCACCTTTCGCAACCTGAATATTGGTGTCAAAAGACAGTACGAAATCGCCATCTTCAGATGTAGCTGGCCAGCAAGCCACTGTGTCCTGAGCTACGTCAACTGCCCAGTCTTCGGACTTCGCCATCGTTTCCCCAGGCTCTTCCGTCTCTAACCACTGCTCAATTGCGCGGCACCCCACCAGTAAATCCTGCAACTGCACTGCAGCCTGCGCTGCGCGGTTTACATGTGGTTTGAGCGCTAAGAACAGAGCAAAGGACGAGAACGCCTTTGCCGGGTCGAGTACGCCCTCGTGAAGCGTGCCATAAAGGACGAGACTCGCCATTGAGGCCAATGTCGGCAATAGAGCGCACGCCGCTTCGAGCACGGCGCGGTTATGCCATAATCGGCTTGCCGTCACCATCTCCACCACCCTCATCCCGCACAGCTTGTTTAAGACCATGGTCTGGGAAGCCCACCCTGCGAATTTGATCCCGCGGATGCCTTGGACCACTTGCTGTGTGCAGGCTGCTCGTCGTCTGCAGAGTCCGCTGAGAGCCTTTTGCTCGCCCCAGATGCGGAGAGCGACGCTGGTGAAGACGGGAAGGCCTAGGAGCAAGACCACCATGCCACCTAGCGATGAAGTGTCTACATTCGCGGCCAACATGGGGATCGCGAGAACAAAGCTAGCCGGTACAGTCCAGATAGCATTGATACCGCTGATGCAATCCTCTATGCGCGATACTTCCACGGATGCGAGATTGAAGACGGCGCCGGAGTTCCAGATTTGTTGTTTTGCCCTTCTCTTTGATTCTTGGCCTCTTTGAGATGAGACGATTGCGGCCGAAGAGGGCGGTGCCAAGAAGGCCTTGTTCATGATGATGTACGTAAGGGCAGCCTTTGCCTGGGCTCCAACACCTTCGAGTCTGTATCGCGAGGTGTTGATGAGGATGCCAGCAGCCATCTGTGTGAGAGCCATGGCTGCGACAAGAGCGTAACTATGGGCCATCCGGGCGTCGTGGCTCTCCCGCCCATCTTGCAAAGTTCCGTCCGCTGTTGAGACTTTGGCGTCTTTGGTAGGTTCTGGTAAGGCTACGAGAAGCCAGCGCAAGATGATGGGCGGGAGGGCGGCTGTCAGCATAGCAGCCAGCTCGATAAAGCCTCCTAATAGAAGCCCACCGCGGAGACATTTTAGAAGGCTGATGGCGAGCCGACGACCTTGAGCTTGGGGATGCGTTGGGGTGTCGTAGAAACATCGAGAGAGCCCACGGGCAAGGGGCTCTGCTTTCTTCCAGTCCGACAGCACGCCCTTGAAAGCAGTGTTGAATTCTACGGGGCCCTCATCTGCATCGTCAAATTCACTGATATCTTCTCCATCTAGCTTCTTGGTACCAGGAGGCGGAGGCGGCGCCCAAGAGAATAGCATCAGGCTAATCACCCAGCAGAGACTGGACCACATTGTGAATCGAGGCATATGCATCCTGCCGGAGAGTTCGAGCTCAATACGGCCCAGCTACTCATTCATTGATCTGAAGCATAAGAGTAAAGGAGATCCACAGGTAATGTTCAGCGGAAACGTGACGAGATTTGCTCACGGTTTCTCCTCAGACAGGAGCCCCAAAGATCTGAAACTTTGGTCTGGCGACAATTACTCAATCTGGAGAGACCAAAGTGTCGATAGCGTCGGGCTCGGGTCTAGCATTCACTGCGAGGTCAATGTAGGCGCGAGCCGGGGTGGCATCAACCGAGCAAACTATGTATACGATAGTTGTGACTGGGGCTGACAGTAATATAAAATACTTTGTTAGTCCATTGATATCCCACCGGTCGGCCCGGCGGCATCTAAGTGACAAGAACTTTATTTGAAAGCTCCACTGACAGGCGAGTGTACCTGTGCAGGAAAGCTGAAGCATCGACTGGTCTGTCGAAATCGATGTTCATTCCTTGTTCCTGGGTCAGGGTTCAATAAGACTTCTGTGTTCTGCATCATGACC